GGCAGAGGATTTGTAACTAGATGATAATTCAGGTCCTTTCCAACCCAAACCGTTCTATGATTCTATGGTTCTGAGGTAATATCTCCCAAGAATAGCCTTGGGCCATCTTCACAGATAGCTCCAATAATAGAATGACATGTCCAGCAGTTCAAGAGCTGGGAACTGCTGCTGATAAGGTGGATAAAGTTTACCAAAAAGCCTTTTGCAGCACACTGCAAGCTGCGGCACTTTTCATAGGATCAGCGAAAGGCAATGCTGTTCAACCAGAACTGTGGGTCCCAAAACAGTTTGGAAAGTTTCCAGGAAACACAAAGAGAAAAACCCCTGTCTCTGCATTTAATGCATCTCAGAATAATAAAATATACACTGAAACAGTCTGAAGGCTGCAACAGGTAGGAGGTGTCAGGGAGCAGCAGCCCCAGCAGCTCTGCAGGGAACAGTGATAGAGCTAAGGGTGGCAGTGTCCTCACTGACATGGGTGCAGTCCCACAGTGCCCAAACAAAAAGAGCCAAACAGATCCAGAGACAGTCATTAGGACGTCCAGGACTGGGCATGAATGCAGCTTGCAGCAGAAGCGGTGATGCCCCGCAGCGTTGCTCCCTGCTCCCTCTCACCCAGTCCTGGGTCCCATGGCTGCACTGTCTTAAAGCTGGTCTCTGGCACATGCAGGCAGGCACCTGGGGGCAAAGGAGTTGGCACCATCAGGGCCCTGACAGCAGGAAACGCAATGTGGTTTCAAAAGCAAGTCCTGTACTAAGAGCATCAAGGAACAGCACCAGAAAAGAAACAAGAGAACAGGCTCCTCTGTGGCAGCACAACAGAGCTGATCAAATATTGTTTGACTGTAGCCTTGCTTATTTGTAATAGACATAGGGTCAGTTTAAGCTGTTCAGTAGCTTTTGGAAATGGGGTCACAGATTAGGTGACTGGCAACAGAGTGTGTCACCCTCTGCACATCGTAGTATCATGGTGAGCCAGACCTGCTGTGGACACTCTGTGAGGACACCCAGCCCTCTGCCTGCAGAGCAAGCTGGGGCATGGACCAACAGCTTTCCCTTAGACAGCCCACCAGAGGGGAGGGCAGCAGCCCTCAGCAGTTTTGCTGGTTTAGGAAGAAGAGAGAAGTTCCTTAAGAATGGCTGAGCCTTCAGAACTCGTTTATTTGCTTCCTGAGAAGGAGTAAATCTGTCCTAACAGTGGTGGATTGATCTGTTGAGCAGCCCAAGGCTGTGAACTTCTGAGCATTGTAAGGAAGGCTTAGGTGACAGTTTTGTCTGTAATTTACCATCCACGACTTCTGTATGACTGGTATTTTAGGGTTTCAGGACCATGGTTTTTTGAAGTAAGAAAAGCAAAACTGTATGCCTTTTCCTATGACACTTGATGATGTATGTGTCTTTGCTTCAAGAAAGAGCACTAGCTCCAAATTTTACTTTCCTCCCGACATGCAGAGCCACAGATTCTCCTTCCCAGGATATGAATAAATAAGAGCCCCAGACGTCAGACACTCTCTGAGGCCTGCAGACATGTCCTGTCTTTCTGTTCCTCCTATTGCAAAATCTGTGGTAAACTAGGACTTCAAACCACTTCCATGGTCCCAATAGTGTCTTGATTATTGATCACATACTAAACACACAGTGATTCCTTTTCAATAAAGAAATGTGTCACTATCTATTAAGTTACTTTAAAAAGCCATTTTTACCCAGACATTTGCACTGAGGTCTGGTCTTTGTCTACTCTGGCTGAAGCACAATACACCATCAAAATGTGCATGATTTGTTTAAATTTCCATTGTATGTCTCTTTTTGGAGAGAGGGGTGAGAGGATTATAACAACTTTAGAACTTGTTCCCACATGAAAATCCTTTCCACATGAAAATCCTTTCCACCCAACGGACAATTTAAATTTTGTTTTAACAGTGATTAAATGCATTAATTTATCACTTCTTCAGTAGACCAATAGGGTTGTACCCTGCAATGTTCTTTGGAATTATAGACCTGAACTTCAGCAAGGATGGTGAGACAGTGAATTCCTCACTCTTGAAGTTACAGACTGCATTGGAGAGGATGCAACTTCAGGGTGAAAAACTGAGAAGCCAGAATGCAAGCACCTAACTAGGTGCCATAATGTATATATAATTTGGCACTGAAATTTCAGGAGACTGGAGAGGTGAAGACAAACATAGGTGTTTGGATGGTTCAGAGAATAAAAAAGAATTTGTTTTGGAGAAAGTTTGCTTGAGGGTTGTGGTGGAGTTATGCTCTTCTGGGGCAGCCAGGAAACTGGAAGAAGATACCTGTATATCAGCCAGAATTCTGCTCCTCTAGAATTTGTATTTAGATGCTAAATCTTTCAAAGACGAGATTAACTCTTTATTATTGTTCTCCAGTTATGGCCTTGAGATGTACCACCACCTATATAAAATAGCAGCCTACTTGTTATACTGAGTAGAAGTGAAGTATTAGACTTTTAATTCCAGAGAATTTTAGTATGTGTACTCTGAGTTAATAAATTAAAGCAAGACATCAACTGTTGATAATATTCACTTTTTATTCACCTTTTTTTCTAGACAAGGCTAAAATGTTTAAAGTTTGGCATTCATCACTATAGAATCAGAATATTTCACAGTATTAATTGGATTTTCCTTGAGATACACACAGTCAAAAATAATAATCTGAACACTGAATATAGGAGGAAATAAAGAAAAGAGATCAGAAGGTGTCTTTTCAAGTCCACACTGGCCAAATTCATGCAACCTGCTTTGCACAATTCTATCACAAAAAAAAATCTGTTAACCATGTTACAAAAATTAATCAGAAAAAAATTTTCACTGGTACTGCTACTAAGTGAGGAATATGCACAATCAAAACAGAAGTCCATTATAACACCAAGTCCTGTGAGTTGCCAAGTGCATTCTGGGGCGAGCTGAATGTTGTCACATATGACCAGACATTAAAAAAAACAACAACCAAAAAAAAACCAAACCCAAAAAAACTCCAAAAAATCCAGAAAAACAAACTCTAAAGTGATATTGCAAAACACTAATAAGGAACCCTCTGTTTAGCCACTGTATTCTCTTATAAAATATGCTGGTTAACTTTAGTACCAACATTTCAGACAACACTGAATTGTATTTCTCACTATTTCAAATAATCTGAGAGAAAGCATAATGTCTTAGTTTGCTTTCAGTTCAGTTATAACAGTTTGAAAAGTAATGCAGGATTGCTTTAAGTGTGAAGATGGCAGGTGATTAAAGGTATTGTGAAATGCATGTCTCTGCCACTCTCATTGCTCAATATAAAAAGTAGCTGGAGAGAGAATAAAAGGAATACCGGGTAGTTTGTTTGCATCTTTTCACATGAAAGTGCTCGTTTAATGATGAAAATGTGTTCATGCATTCATACAAACAGCATCTGTATATACAGCTCTTGATGATTGGCAATGTTCCCTTGGATTACTTAATTTTAATAGTTTACTGCTCCTTATGGTTGTGGTTTTGTTTCCATTTTGAACATGAAAATCAATGTAGCATGCAACCAACCAGACTGCCACGTGAAAATATTCCTAAAAATACCATTCATACAGGTTCTTTAAAATTATTCTATAAATAGCTGTAATAATTAAATAGGCAGAGACACTTTTGTACAACCAACAAACTGAAAATTAATTCACAATGTTTACTGCGCTCCTAGTTTTATATCCCCATCCATTACTTTATTATTGTTATGCTAGGTAGTGACTTTTTATGATTATGTCATTCAGAGAACATAAATTTTCAGTTATAAATGAAGAAGTACATCAGAACAGCATGGTTTAGAATTGCAATTATTGCTGACCTGACCTTCTGGAAGGAGAACTGAATTCTTATATTTTGATCAACAAGAGTGGTAATATCACACTGAAATAAACATAATCTTGACAGTTTTTATTCTTTTTTTTTCTATAAACTAAATTATGACTTGGATTTCACAAAAAAATGCAGCTCATGAGGCTAGCCCTGTAACATTTTGACAGTGTTGTATATGCTTCATGTTTTGACTGGCCCTTTCATATTTGTGGAAAAGTAGGATAGAATCGTAGTGAACACATTCTTATCTATATGATCACTTGAATACCTTGACAGTCATACAATAGCTTCCATTTATTTCCTTTGGGTTTTCTTCACTTCTTTGGGAGTAATCCTCAAACTGTGACTGCTTTTATGACTTTACAAACAAGTGTACAACAATGGACTAATTTTTTCAAGTGAATGTTCATAATGAATTGAAAAAAAACCCATGTGCTAGATGTTTCTTTACTAGAAGGCACTGAAAAACACAGAAATACAAGACTAGTTATATGCAAGTCAGGAGATGTTAGTTATCAGAGAGTAGCAGAAAGAAGAATTAGAACAAAGATTCACCTGTCCCAAAGTCCTATATGCAGCAGTGGTCAAGAATAGGTACATGCAGAAAAGCACAAGAACAGCTAGAACAATTCACAACTCAGAGACTTCTTTGACCCTATGACTGACACTTTTTTGATCTGTCATTTCTGGAGTTAGAGTGAGTTTCTCCCTTAATTTAGAGAGAAAACTTGATGAGATGTAAGATACTTCTATGAAGTAACAAGGTATATAAGTTATAAGGTTTATATAATTTTATACAATAATGAGTTGCCTAGCCCTACTTATGTATTTTTTGCCAATATCTACAGCTCAATGATTTAAAAATATCTGATAACTAGTCAGAATTACTGAAAACTCAGAATTAATATCATGATAGTGTGGACACACACTGATTTTATAGATGTGCATTTTCCATGTAAATGCAGACCTAATTTACTAATTATATATTAAGAGCTTTGAACTGTCTATTTTCAAACAACACCTCGATTTTCCTTACTTACCTTCTTCCAAACTATACTTAACTAAAAACTTTACATAAAGGAGATGTTGACTATATTAATACATTTGTTGTTTAAAAGTGTTAAGCATTGTTGCCTTTTTTTTTTTTTTCCCTCAGACTTTGTTAAATGCAATCATTACATCGTTGCCACTTGCTTCTTCACAAAGAAACCTACAGACTGCATTTTCCTAGATAATCACAAAGTTAATTTTTTTACTGTACTACAACTTTGATGATTCAGTAACTTTAAAAAAAGGTCTGCCATTACATTAACTGTGAGAAGAAAATAATACACTCTGGAGAAGATTGTATGACCAATACTAACAATTTTAAAATATTTCTGTGAATTGGCATATAAAGATGGAAGAAGAAGCTGCTTTTCCAAAAAGGCCTCTAATAGCTCATATTCGTCTTGTTTCTAAACCAAAAGTTACAAATACAAAACAAATTTAATTGTTAGAAAGTTACTTGATCATTAAGAATATTTAAGATATAAATGGTTTCTTTTACTCCACTATAATATTATTTTCTACACATCATAAATATCTGTTAAGTGTCTGTTCAGAAGGATGAATCGAATTAAAGAACAAGCCTGGTTTTATCAAAAGGATCCATGTTAAAAAACTATTATTCGGTATATTTCTGTTGATTTTTCTTCTTTTGAGATGTCACGGTCCAATATGTTATTCAGACAAATTGAAAACACAAGTTATATTTAAAGCATGTCTGTTTGATTGTTATTTATAACATTTTTGCTGGAGTAAAAATATTTGTATCACATAAATATTCTTTTGACATATCAAGGATTGGAGGCATATTGCCTTGGAAAATGCACCATTCCTGCAGCGTGTCTATGCAGTCTTACACAAGCAGACCTACATGCACTTTGCCTGCATTTATAGTTAACCAGGAGCTACATCATTAGCAGACTTTTAAGTTCAGTCTTACGCACACCGTTTCTTAATATTTACTATCACGATTCATAATCACAGTTGTCTTGAACTTATTGCAACTGATGATACATACGTATACATACATATATATGTAAATATATAAATCTCAGTTAGTAGAATTAGAGATCACTGATAGCAGTGTTTAAAAGACTGAAAACTTTGGCCAGTTTCAAACTGGGAAACAATACTAGATAGATATATATTGGCAATACACATTGCTAATGGTTAATTCTTACTCATTATCAATTATTTCTATATATATTTAAACAAATAGTTCTGAACAAGTGTTTCCTAAATAGCTGTGAGTATAAAATATGATGGAGTTGACGATGATGATGGCTATGGTCCTTGATGGCCTCACTGTCCAAGTTCAAGGTGGTCAGTGATTAGTTCTTTGAGAAGGGATGATGGAACTGAGGTGGATGACTTCTCTATATTCCTTGCTCATGACTGCTATTTTATGTTCTCTATTCAAACGAAAAAGGGCACAATATACTCTTGATACAGCTGAACTTTTGGGGTTTTTTTTGGTTTTAAGGATGTTTCTCACTCTTTCTCCGGGATTATTTTGATTCCACCAAATTCTGCAAGATTATTTTGGTTTTATTAGGTATCTTTTACACCTGATCTACATCCTTGGTTTCCTACTTGCCCATGTGCTCTAACAACTCATTTGTGCCATTTTACTACAAATCTCCATTTGCTTCTCTTCAGTTACAACTATTATTTATAGGTTTATGCTTAACTGTTACAAAATGCTACTAATAAAGTTGTGACTTATGAAGTACCTACATATCTACCATAATTAGTATGCTTATGTCTGGGTTCAAGGCAAGCATATATTAATTATACCTTGCTTAAACTGCTTCTATTTTATGGGTGCAATGGGCATCTGCTTTGACCGCAAACTCAGTGACTTACAATTTGAGTCAGTTTATGATTAACAGTACATGAAGGTAGGAGTTAATTGCAGTAACCATTTTCTAGCATAGAGTAATTCAGGGTGCTGGGCTAAAATGGCAAAGTGGAAATATGCATGTTGCCTAACATAGGTGTTGCTTATTAGGTCAGTAGATCTAGAGATACCTGAAGGTGTTGGAGCTATACAGGTAAAATTCGCTTCTGCTGTAACTGCAGAAGAACAAAGGAGGCAAAAGCAAAGAGGAGGACTATGGTTCATTCCTGAATAGCTGTGTTGGAGAGCTGGAAGGAACCAAGAAGTTGTGGCAGAAAAAAGTGCTGAGAGTTTGTTTGGAGAACTATAGCTAGAAAGTTGTTTCTGGACCCTCCACTGTCTTCTTATTCCCTCTCCTTAAGTAGAATAACTTCCTTTCCTAGGTGACCACCTCCAGCCCAGGAGTGGCCATAATTCACTGATGTTATTCTCCCTAGAAGGGAAGGTGTCTATTAATCTATGCAAAGTCCAGCTGGTTTAAAGGCAAATGGACTTTCTCATCTATGTAAGCAGAATTGTCTTTTACAGCATCTAATCAGGGAGAGGAGATAGACATGAATAAATTAGTAGAAAATAAATTACTGGTTCTAGCATCACACCTCCAAAATAACTAAATTATGTGTTCACAATTCATAGTAATACATGCCTATGTGATCTAACCATTTTTGCTTTGTGGATTATCTGTTCTCACTAAAGAAGAGGATACTAAAAAAGGCTAAGACTGAAAAATCTTTGGAGGGAATTTAACAGACTTTAACAGTTCTCATCAGTATGTGGATCTCACTTCAAGTTTGGCACTAATGCTCTGGAAATGGTCCTGAAAAAATGGATTTTTGAGGTGCTGGTAAAAACTGAGAGAAACAATGTGTTGCAGACAAGCTAAAATAATATGGTTTTAATTTTGTGGCAATTTGGGGGGGAGTAGCACTAAACTCAAATCTTGCCAAAACCATTTTGAAATCAATGAATTATAAAAAATCTCTTCGCCTTTTTCAGCCAAATGAATTAACTAAAAATTAATCTGAACTTGTACTTACTTTATTAATCCCCAAAATTTTCAGGGAATTTATTTCTGTTGGAAGAAATAACATGACTGTAACTGAAATTGACAGGAAAGGATCTGCAAGAAAAATAGAAGCTAAATTAAAATTATTATCACATACCTTCACAGCATATATAATGAATGCACGTCATGTTATGTGATGGAATTAGCAGTAGTACATATGAATTGGATGAATATATAAATATACAGTATGAACTATATATAGCTTAAGTGCACATATATGCATATACAACAATATAAAAGAAGTTTCATTAAATTTCTAGCTAAGAATTAACCATGCACATTTTATTCCTATTTATAATACATATGCTATGCCAGTTTGTCATGGTCAGCTATGATTTTCCTCAAAGGTGAAAGGAAATGGCTTTTGAATTTATGCATTCTTGCCTCAAAAATGTCAGAAAACTAACACCTGCCTTGTCAAAATTTTCTTAGTTTGCTGCAGAAATAACAATTCCATTTCAGAGCTACTTGCAAACCACTCTTGCAGGGCCTGCCATTTCATCCCCACAGCAACAAGAAAGCAGGGTGGGCCAGCCAGTGCAAACAGTGCATTCATCACTGCTTTTTCCTTGTTTCAGCCACTTCCACTACAGCGGGAGCAAGTGAGTTTTGAAGATTGCTTACTGTGTAAAAAAGCACTGGCCTTAACTACAAGAGTTTTCGCTAGTTTAAACTAGCAGCTTTCAACATCCTCAGTGAAAGGCAGAGCCCTCAACTTGTTTTCCAGTCAAATTTCTTGCATAACTTTTGTCAAAAAATGTCAGATATTTAGCTAACTTTTTGAAAAACTTGAACAGCCAGAGACTGGATAACTTCAGTAATAAGAATGCAGCCTGGGGACAGTACATTAATCTCTAGCCTTGCTGCACATAAAATTGCTTTGGTAGCTCTGCATCTGGAAAGATTTGATCAGTGTGGTTTGAAGGACTGTCACATTAGCTAAACAAGCTAATCCTGCACCTTAATTAACCGGTCATGCTGCCTTTCTCCCAGCAATCTCGTCGTGAACTTTTTTAGCATATACAAAAGCAATGGTGAACTTGCAAATAAGACATTCAGTAGAATGAAGTTTCCTTTCACCCTCAAGAAAACATAGGGGTGACTATCTGTGAATCATCCCTATAGGCCTACACAGGCCACCTTCTGCTTCAGTAAGAATCTTAATGCCATAAATGTTTAATCCATATGTTTCCTTCGTGATTCATCCTTGAGCAGCTCCATATGTCAGCAGTGGTCAGACAAGGCTTTTGAAATGCACATGAGCAGAGCTGGTGACTAGCAGACAAATGTGCGTCAGTCCCACAAATTGTTATTTTCTGTTTATAAACCCATTCAGTTGAACTACAGAATAACTAGGGAGAATGCTGCTGAAGAGATCATCAGTGACATTAAAATGGATACATTCAAGTTTATCTGGAACAATAATAAGCGTGCTTTTCCTGTCCCTGCACTTCTGTTGCAGGGCTAGGTATGAGCTAGTCCTGTCTAGGATTCCTTGGCCATACCCAACCTGCAGAAATTGGACTTGGGTGCTGAATCCATCCCAACTCAGCCACCCTGTGTCTCACTGAGAATAAATCAGGCTGAGAGGGATCATTAGGACACTTCACCCAAGTGGATGATTAACGGACTGGGATTTTAAGGCTTACTGCAGCATGTACTTCCTTGCAAAGTAAACATGGACTATGATTCTGGTATTGGTAATCTTGAGTTGAGAGAAGGGTCCAGTACATGGACCTTATCACCACAGCATCTGGTATGGTACAGTATTACAAGCATTCAGTTCTGTGAAACTCTTGTGAAGACCAAGGTAGGAAATCATTATTCTCACTTTATAAGAAAAGCAATGAAGCATGCAGAGAGAGGATGAAGCAGTTCACAGTTCCTTCTGGCCTTATTAGTCAGAAGCATCTATTTTCATAGAAACATGAATAATTTCTATCCTGCATTCTCTACAAAACCCAGTTTTTAAGGCTGCATTGTGCACAAGTGAAGCAGAATATTTCTTGAACTCAAGTCGGTTTGTCTATATATCTGCAGTACTTTTCAAAGGAAACTGAGGCTTAATGTTTTGACCAAATCAAGTGCCCTTGTCTTTATATATAGGTAGGAAGGCACAGGCACTGGATCACAAAAATATGAACTAACTTAATGAATGCACAGGAACCTGTTACTGGTACGTGGGATGGTTAGCTAAATCTGGATCAAGTACCAACTACAGACAACTGACTAAAGAAAACCTAGGTCTTGATGCAGGTCTTGCTGTAGCCATGGCGAGATTTTCTACCTAATGCATAAGCACATAGGGCATGAAGATTCAACTGGCTCTCATGAATATTCATTAACAATCATATATGAAATAAATATGACCCAAATATACAGGATTTTCATAATTTTGCCAAAATACCCTCAACAGGAAATCTCAGATGCTGGGTCCATTCTATAAAGCCATTATTCAGTTTCTATTTTTTACAATTTTTACAAATTTATTTTTCTGTCCTTATCCCAAACCATATTTGCAATAGTTTTCAACTTACAATGAACTCTAATGAACTGTATAGTTCATTACAGTATAGTTTGTATCAACTAAATGTATTTCAGCAGGTTAGCTTGTTTTACTTAGAGTTCCACTTTAATAGAATAAATTATTTTCATTCATCCTGATTACATTTGAACAGAGAAATGTAAGTACCATTAGCAATTTTAATGTTAAAAGGAACTGTTCAGTCATCAAGCACATATATTCTTTCCTTAAAAAATTTATATTGAAGGCTCCTTTCATCTGCATACAAATACATTTAAAATAGAAGAAAAATTCTTACATACTACTTAAGATTAGGATAAAAATACTTTATGGTTGAATAGATTGACAAATATTTTTCTCGTCGACTTATTTTATAGATGGAGGAAAGCTATTGATTGAATTATTCAAGAGATAACAGTAACATTTGTTCAATGATTTGATAATTAATTTTAAGTCGGTGTTCAATCAAGTCCTAAAAATAATCAGGCAAGAAGAGAGGCATTTAATAAATAAGGTCTTGCCTGTTACGAAGTTATGTTGTCATTATTTTACTACAAAAGTCTTGGAAACCTTTCTTTCATGACTTGAAGCATAGGTAATCTTCTACAAGCAACTAGATAAAAAATGAACATAAATACTGCAACACATAGCTCTTTAGGAAAACTTAGGAAGGCTGATGAACACACTTGGAATATATATATTTTTTTAAATAATCTTAAAATTCCTTTTTTTTTTCTTTAGTTAAACAAAATCACTTATCGTCTACAATGAGTAAAGAAAAGACTACTTCTGAGACTTGGCCACCTAAGTTGTTGCAGCTTCCAGCACAGCCTGAAGGCAAGAACAATTAGAGATCCTCAAATGGGAGATGCCAATTCAGTTGCATATTTTGTCTTCTAAATGAAACATTGAAAAGAGTAATTAGCAGATTTTTCATAGTATCACCTGTTGCAGAAAAGTACTGTTTTAATAATAATTATTAGTTTCAATAAACATTCATCCTATGGTCTCTTGCTTGTGCAGAATGCACTATCTTCATACTCCAGTTTCCAAGTGAGAAATACGTAGAGGGAGAAAAAAGAAAGAGAAAATAAGATTATGTTAACCACAAGCAGAAACCCAGACACTAATTTAACTAAGACTCTAAGCAAGCATCTCTATATATGTGCTCATCTTCACATGATCTATCTAATTCCTTTCATTTTACGATTACTGATTAAATAATCTGCAGAAAAAAAAATGTGTACTGATGAGGACAGAACGTCCTAAAGTAAAATAATTCACCTTCTTAATACCTTCAAAGGACAACTCAGGATGAAGCTGTACTGTAGGGTAGGCTGATTATTTATTCATATATATATAATTCTAGTTAAGATATGTTGGCTTCAGTAAACCTCTCACAGAAGAAGGCAAAAGGTCAAAGCAGAGAAGTGAAATTTTGAAACAAATAATGGTGATATCAAACATTTATTCATAAACTGTGTTTTATTTCTAAATGTTCTACAGAAAAAAATCTATGCCAGACCAATTCTAACTTTAAAATAATGACTAATTTAATTTGAGAAACATAGTGTGTCTTAAGAATTGACTAGCAATGCCTACGAAATATACCAAAAGTTCTCTCTTGGTGTGTTCTT